GGAGGGGGCCTCTGTTTTGTCGACCAGCATGGAAATATACGCAAAGCAATGCATGGCACGGTTCCAGGAGTTAGGCAGGCACAAAGTGTGCTTAGAGCAGAATTGTACGGTTTCCTGAATGTTCTGCGGCATGGCGCTGCCCCTCTACAGGTGGGGATCGACAATTCTACCGTCGTTCGGGGCTTCATGCGAGGCCCAGTTTGGTGCCGCCCAGCCAGACGACCGCATGCCGATTTAGGGCATAGAATTTGGAATGCGATTGAAGATTCGTTCGTTGGGGAGGGTGACCTCGTCGTCGTCAAAGTCGAAGCGCATTCCAAGAAGGCCCATGCCCAACAGCTCGAGGGACTCGAGCTGTGCAAGTACCTAAGGAATCAGAGCGCCGACCTTCAAGCGAAGGACGGCGCCAAGCTAGATGCCATCCCGCCGCATATCAGAGACACGTGGGTGGCCAGATTTAAGGAGGTTTGTGCTGTCCTCGGGCTTGTCGGAGATATGACCTGTAAGATAGGCACAGTTGATGACACCACAGGCCGTCACCAGAGCGCCTCCCAGCCCCCTGGCCCTCGGCCGCGCCGTTCGGTTTTGCCTCCTCCCGAGTATCGGCACGTCCTGGAGGTGGACAGGGGGTCCTGGAGGTGTGCATGGTGTGCCAGACCGGCCCACAGCTATAAGGCCAAGCTGGTGCTGTCGCGTAAGTTTTGCAGGGAGGGTTTCTCCTCGCACGCCAAGTGGAAGAAGATAGCGAGTGTCGACGGGGCTCCTTTGGAGGGGCCAAGGCGACACATGCTGTCTCGAATTGGCCACCACACCTTCTGTCGAGAGTGCGGCGCCTGTTTGAGCGCCAGGGCTTGTGGGTTACTTACAGGTTGTCCTAAGGACCCGAGGGACCACAAAGCCAACACTCGGCGTAATCGTTTGCTGGCAGGTAAGCATCCTTATAAGAATGACAGACTGCCTGGAGAGGTGGTCGCGTTGTCCAGAACCCAGGAATTGGAGTTTCTGGAATCGATTGGGAATGCTGCCAGGGCCTCCGCCGCGGGAAGTGGCGTGGAGGCACAAATTTCCTCCGCCGCCTCAGGCGGCGCGGAGGACTAACCTGGCCTGACGCAGGTGGACGCGAGGTGCTCGCCCACGCTGTGCTCGCGGGAAAAACGTACTCCTCTTCCTCCTCCTCCTCCTCCTCCTCCTCCTCCTCCTCCTCCTCCTCCTCCTCATCCCTCCTCATCGCCCTCCTTATCCCCCTTCTCCTCCTCCTCCTCCTCCTCCTCGGGCCAGCCCGGCTACCGCGGAGGACGAGGGGACGACAGGAAAGGAGAGGTGAGGAGACGAGAGCAACTGAAAGGGGAGGAGAGGAGAGGAGGCCGACGTCATCGTCGAATGAACATACGTACGGACAGACGAGGGAGGAGGATGAGGAGGAGGGTCCCGACGAACAACGCAAAACGCTAGAACAACGGAATTCCGAAAAAAAACAACAAACTTCTACAACTTCGACCACTAAAAACCTAACATCACCGTTAACTTAAACAGCTTCGACCGATAAAAGAAACTAACCCCGAAACTCGAACACTAACTCTAGCTCAACTTCAATATCTAAGTTGTTGGAGTTAATATAGTGGTTCTACTTGCAAATTATAGGAATACCACTGCAGTTGCGTAAAACATAACCCCCCTCATTTTCGTTGCCAACATATCAACGGGTATTCTGGGTGCTCTGGGGGTCCCGGCCCCGTGTGCTCCGGGTGTCCCGGCGAAGAGACGCTCCTCGTGGGCACACCGCGTTGTCTCGGGCAATGGCCGGCCGTGGGTCCATCGCGGGAGTCCCGTGATGCAACACACAGCTTGCACAGCATAGCTTGCATAGCTTGCGCCGTACACTTAACACCAGATAGCTTGCGCCACGTAGCTTGCACCACATAGCTGTCGCCTCTCAGCTTGCACATCCACAAGTGCAGCAGCTCACTGTTTTGGGCCCGCGCTGGTGAACATCTTGGTGTCTGCTTGGCATACAAGAGAACTACATATCATCCTAATTTCCTCTTCTTACGCATGCCGTTCGTTGGTACGCGCGGTTGACGTATGTGGTGCACTGTGCTATGATGTGGGCATCTCGGCCGCAGGGGGTTGACGCTGACTCGCCGAAGGCGTCTGCGGTGAAACCAAGTTTGTTGTTTCCCCACCTTATTTCCCACGGCAGACAAACTCTGCGGGATGATTGCGGATGTGGACATCTCTCCGCGAGACCGGTCTTGGGGCTCTCTTCGGGCCCTCTTGGGTTGTCTGAGGCCCTCCTCAGGGGCCTCTTTGAACCCTCCAATGCTGTCCGGGGCCTGCGGCTCTCATCATTGTGCCGTCTCTTTGGCCTCCTCGGGCCGTCGGGGGCGGTCTTCCAGCACGGAGTCGTCGGTGCCGGCGGCGACGGCGACGATGACGACGACGAAGACGACAGCAACGGTGGCAGCGACCTCGGTGATCGTATGAGTTCGGACATGCTCTTTACCATCGGTGGTATTCGTGAAAGACGTCTGCCTTCTGACCAATAATAAGCACACTTGCAAGTGTAAAAGAAGCGACGCCACTAGCAATAACTATAATGATAGCACTCGAACTGCATCTCGTGTAGGGCGGCGGAAGACGGAATAGGATGAACAACACCAGGGATACAAATGCCAGTGTCAGTTCCAGGGGTAACAGGTACAGCCAGCATGATCAATAGCTTGAGCAGAATCTCACAACAGGCAAACTAACTGTAGTGAGCAGAGCAGTTGCTGAAACCAAGGAAATGTTGTAGTTGCGGTGATTCCGGAAAACGGTGTTGGGGCGAAACACATTGTTTTGTGGTTGTGTGTACTTCCATTTGTATACAACGTGCATGCACGCACGCATGTATCCATACACATACTCGGAGTGTGCAGATACGCGCATATGTGCGCACAGTTATACTCATATATACATATATATATACACATATAGACACAGCTCTATACATATACATGTGTTTACATTTATATATATATATATATATATATAGAGAGAGAGGGAGGTAGGAATGTGTGATAAAGCCACGCGCGCGCTTCGCGCGCTTAGGTTCTAGTCACGATAATTACACGGCCATCACCCCTACCGTCACCAATTCTGCTACGGTTGCCGCAACCACCTTTGGTGGTACGGCCACGACCACTGACACGACCGCTTCCACCGCTACTATCGGTATCCACTCCTTCTGCCCTCGTCCTTCCTCCGCTTCTTCTTGCGCTTCGCTCGTGCATCTTGGGCATGGAGGGATAAATGGGCCTGGAGGAACGGGGTCCTGGACCCTGGGGGGGCCCGGACCAGCGTGCCACTCCAAGTCGCTCTGCTGACGGCCCCTGGGCCAGAGGACGGGGGAGCCTTTGGGACGGGCCCTCGTGAGATGCCTCGTGAGATCTCTCGTGAGGGCACCAGGTCGCATCTTGCAGGTCTGTCTTGACGGCTCTGGGGATCCCCTTGGATCCCCTGTCTTGTTTTGAGCTTCTGGGGGGCTCCTGAGGTCCAAAGGTGGGGGACAGGACTCGAGATGTCGGTGTTGGGGTTGCCTTTTGCCTCCTCGTGGTGCCTCCTTGGCTGCGTCGGGCGCCCTCTTCGAGACCCTCTTGGGCCGCCTTGGGCCAGTCTCGGGTTGTTTGGGGTTCCGCTGGGAGGCCTCTGGGGGCAATCTTGGAGCAACATGGGGACCCTCTTGACCCGTCTTGGCCAGTCAGGGGCTCGAGAACAGCATGCGAAAAGCGTATAAGAAACCCACAGAGAATCAATTGTTATTCCCCCTCGGGGCCCTGTTGGGCGCCCTCTGGGGCTGTCTGGAAGCCATCCTGGAACGCTCCTGGCCCATGTCCCAGGCCTCTGGAATCGTCCGGGGGCGGGTCCTGGAGTCCTTTGGCCCGTCTTGGGCGCCCCTGGCCTCGGGAAAACAGCCCGCGATTGGGCAGTGCACCCAGGGACATGTGTAAGGAGTGCCGTTCCGCCCATCTCGCCTCGCGCCAGCGTTGTGGGTGAGGCATCGAGCTTTGCGACGCATGTCGGAATATCTTCGGAGGCCTCTCGGGTACTGTGGGGGGCGGTTTGGGGGCCTCTTGGGGGCCTCTTGGGGTCTCTTGTCGACTCCTGCAGGCTTCTGGGGGCCTCCCGGGAAGCATGTTGTGGGCCCGTTTCGGCCTCCCGGGGGTCCCAGTGCGCAGAAAGGTTAAAGATCTTGGGCGGCTCCTGAGGTGTTCTTGGACCGTCTTGGAGGTCTCTTGGGTAATTTTAGGAGCCTCTTGGAACGTCTGTGCGCCCACTTGGGGGCCTCTGAGGCTGTCTCTGGGCGGTTTTCGGTGCCTCTGAGGTAGTCTTGGAGCGCCGAAAAGCAGCAACAGTGAAACCACAAAACCTTCTCATAACTAATGGGGGCCAATCACTTGTGCCTCTTGGGGCCCTCTTGGAGTGCCTCTTGGAAACCTCTTGGGGCGTCTTGAAGGCGTTTTGGGCCGTCTGGAAGCTCTCGTGGAGCCTCTCGGGGGCCTTTTGGGCCACCTGAAGGCCATCACGGGCACCTGGGCAATATTTGTCGGCCTCTTGGACCCTCTGGGGACGTCTGGGGCACCTCTGGGACGTCTCTGAAGCCTTTTGGGACGGACCTGGGCCCGCACACTACCATGCGCTGTCGGGACCCTGACCTCGTAAACCGAATATCTGTATATCCGCAACCGTGCCTCTGGGCACGGGCGGCACGGAGTGGGCGTGTCCTCAGGTCCTTTGTCTGACAAGGTGGGGGACAGGACTCGAGATGTCGGTGTTGGGGTTGCCTTTTGTCTCCTCGTGGTGCCTTCTTGGCTGCGTCGGGCGCCCTCTTCGAGACCCTCTTGGGCCGCCTTGGGCCAGTCTCGGGTTGTTTGGGGTTCCGCTGGGAGGCCTCTGGGGGCAATCTTGGAGCAACAGGAACAGAAGCGGCCATGTCTGAATTGTTTGCTGAAGGCACGCGCCTCCTCAACAGGCAGCGCCGTGACACTAGCGCCACCGACTTGTGGATCGACCTCGAGGTCGAAGTCGTCCAAAGCCGTGTCCTGCGCCTCCTGTCTGAACTCACCAGCGGGCGCCTTCTGCGTCTGGGGCTCCTCCTCTACTGGCGCAGCCGTCGTTCCAGGTGCGGTCCCCCCAGAGCTAGGCTCGGCCGATACGGCGTGCCCCCCGTTGAGCTCTCCGAGAACGTCGAGATCGTCGAAATCGATGTCGCCATCCCACGCCTCTTCCCTCGGATTCTTCGCCGATGCTGGCTGTGCCGCAACGTCGTCGATGACGGGGGTGGTGGCGGCCACCATGTCCTCTGCCTCCCGCAACCCAGCCGTGGGAGGCTTCTCTCCAAGGTCGTCCATGTCGAACTCGCCCCATGCAGCGCCGCTCGCTAGATCTGCCCCCGCTGCGGGGGTGGTGATCGTAGGGGGCGGTGCCAGCTCCCGCGAGCCTGCGGCGGGGACGGGGATGGTGGCAGTCATCATGCCCTCTGCCTCCAGCACGCAAGCGGGGGGAGGCTGCTCTCCGAGGTCATCTATGTCGAACTCGTCCCACTCAGCACCACTAGCAGGCTCTCCTCCCGCTGCAGAGGCCGCGAACGCAGCTGGCGGCGTCGCCTTTCGCGAGCGAGCGGGGGAAGGAGGCTGCTCTCCGAGGTCGTCCATGTCGAACTCGTCTGACGCAGCACCACTCGCTGGCTGTATCTCCGCTGCAGCGGGCGTAGAAGCAGCTGGCGGCGTTACCTCTGGCACGCCAGCGGGGGGAGGCTGCTCGCCGAGGTCGTCTATATCGAACTCGTCCCACTCAGCACCACTAGCAGGCTCTGCCTCCGCTGAAGTGGCCGCGAACGCAGCTGGCGGCATCGCCTTCCGAGAGCGAGCGGGAGGTGCCTGCTCTCCGAGGTCGTCTATGTCGAACTCGTCTGACCCAGCACCACTCGCTGGCTGCGTCACCGCTGCGGCGGGCGTAGAAGCAGCTGACGGAATCACCTCTGGCACACCAGCGGGGGGCGGCTGTTCTGCGAAATCGTCTATGTCGAACTCGTCCCACGCGGCATCACTCGCTGGCTGTACTTCCGCTGCAGCAGCTGGCGTAGTCACTTCCTGCGAACCGGCGGCGGGAGGCTGTTCTGCGAGGTCGTCCATGTCGAACTCGTCTGACGCAGCACCACTCGCTGGCAGTGTCGCAGCTGCTGCGGTCGTAGAAGCAGCTGGCGGCGTCACGTCTGGCACGCCAGCGGGGGCAGGCTGTTCTGCGAGGTCGCCTATGTCGAATTCGTCCCACTCGGCACCACTAGAAGGCTCTGCCTCCGCTGCAGTGGCCGCGAGCGCAGCTGGCGGCGTCACCTTTCGCGAGCAAGCGGGAGGGGGCTGCTCTCCGAGGTCGTCTATGTCAAACGCGTCCCACGCAGCACCACTTGCTTGCTGTGTCTCCGCTGCTGCAGCTGGCGGCGTCCTTTTCTGTGAATTGGCGGTGGGAGGCTGCTCTCCGAGGTCGTCCATGTCGAACTCGCCCCACGCAGCGCCGCTCGCTAGCCCTGCCTCCGCTGCGGGGGCCGTGACCGCAGGGGGCGGCGCCACCTCCCGCGAGCCAGCGGCGGTCGCCTGCTCTCCGAGGTCGTTCATGTCGAACTCGCCTGACGCCGCACCATTCGCTGGCTGTGTCGCCACTGCGGCGGGGGTGGAAGCACCTGGCGGCGTCACCTCTTGCACGTCAGCGGGTGGAGGCTGCTCGCCGAGGTCGCCTATGTCGAACTCGTCCCACTCAGCACCACCAGCGGGCTCTGCCTCCGCTGCAGTGGCCGCGAGCGCAGCTGGCGGCGTCACCTCTGGCACGCCAGCAGGGGGAGGCTGGTCTCCGAGGTCGTCCATATCGAACTCGTCACACGCAGCACCACTTGCTGGCTGTGTCTCCACTGCGGCGGGCGTAGAAGCAGCTGGCGGCGTCACCTCTGGCATGACAGCGGCGGTCGCCTGCTCTCCGAGGTCGTCTATGTCGAACTCGTCCCACTCAGCACCACCAGCGGGCTCTGCCTCCGCTGCGGGGGCCGTGACCGCAGGGGGCGGCGCCACCCCCCGCGAATCAGCGGCGGTCGCCTGCTCTCCGAGGTCGTCTATGTCGAACTCGTTCCACTCAGCACCACTCACTGGCTTCGTCTCCGCTGCGGCGGGAGCGGAAAACATTGGCGGCGTCTTTTCCTGCGGACCGGTGGTGGGAGGCTGCTCTCCGAGGCCGTCCATGTGGAACTCGTCCCACTCAGCACCACTCGCTGGCTCTGTCTCCAATACGGTGGCAGGGAACTCCGCAGTCGGCATCCCCTGGGCTGCCTGAACAGGCGGGGCTGCAGGGCCAGCGCCACTGGCCGGCGAGCTGATCTCGACTTTGAAGTTTTCCTGGTCTGCATTGGCCCCGTCCCCTGTGCCCTTCTCCTTGACATGGGTGGCACCACCGCCATCAAGCCGCGGACTGACCTCAACGTCAAAGTCGTCCCAGCCTGCCTCAGCTGTTTGCTTCGCGCCCTCGTCTTCATTTACCGGCAGAGCCCGAGAACCAGCGCCACCGTCCTGCGGGCTGATCTCGGCGTCGAGGTCGTCCAGGCCCACCTCCCCCTTCTGCTGCGTGTCATTCTCAACCGAGGAGGCCGCCGCCGTGGCAGCAACTCCGGCGACTTGTGGTCCGACGTCGACGTCGGAATCGTTCCAACCCGCATCGCTTTCCTGCCTGCCATCCTCCTGCTCGACACGCGGGGCCGTCACACCAGCGCCGCTAGGCTCAACCGGCAAGACGGCCCCCCCGTCGAGCTCTCCAAGACCTTCGAGGTCGCCGAAATCGATGTCGCCATCCCAAGCCCCTTCCTTTGGACTCTTCTCCGATGCTAGCTGTGCCGCAACGTCTTTGATCACGAGGGTAGTGGCGGCCACCGTGTTCCCTGCCTCCTGCAACCCAGCGGGGGGAGGCTGCTCGCCGAGGTCGTCTATGTCGAATTTGTCCCACTCAGCACCACCAGCAGGCTCTGCCTCCGCTGCAGTGGCCGCGAGCGCAGCTGGCGGCGTCGCCTTCCGCGAGCGAGCGGGAGAAGGAGGCTGCTCTCCGAGGTCGTCCATGTCGAACTCGCCCCACGCAGCGCCGCTCGCTAGCCCTGCCTCCGCTGCGGCGGCCGTGACCGCAGGGGGCGGCGCCACCCCCCGCGAGTCAGCGGCGGTCGCCTGCTCTCCGAGGTCGTCCATGTCGAACTCGCCTGACCCAGCACCACTCGCTGGCTGTGCCACCACTGCGGCGGGCGTGGAAGCAACTGGCGGCGTTACCTCTGGCACGCCAGCGGGGGGAGGCTGCTCGCCGAGGTCGCCTATGTCGAATTCGTCCCACTCAGCACCACCAGCAGGCTCTGCCTCCGCTGCAGTGGCCGCGAGCGCAGCTGGCGGCGTCGCCTTCCGCGAGCGAGCGGGAAAAGGAGGCTGCTCTCCGAGGTCGTCCATGTCGAACTCGCCCCACGCAGCGCCGCTCGCTAGCCCTGCCTCAGCTGCGGGGGCCGTGACCGCAGGGGGCGGCGCCACCCCCCGCGAGTCAGCGGCGGTCGCCTGCTCTCCGAGGTCGTCCATGTCGAACTCGTCTGACCCAGCACCACTCGCTGGCTGTGCCACCACTGCGGCGGGCGTGGAAGCAGCCGGCGGCGTCACCTCTGGCACGCCAGCGGGGGGAGGCTGCTCGCCGAGGTCGTCTATGTCGAATTCGTCCCACTCAGCACCACTAGCAGGCTCTGCCTCAGCCGCAGTGGCCGCGAACGCAGCTGGCGGCGTCGCCTTCCGCGAGCGAGCGGGAGAAGGAGGCTGCTCTCCGAGGTCGTCCATGTCAAACTCGCCCCACGCAGCGCCGCTCGCTAGCCCTGCCTCAGCTGCGGGGGCCGTGACCGCAGGGGGCGGCGCCACCCCCCGCGAGTCAGCGGCGGTCGCCTGCTCTCCGAGGTCGTCCATGTCGAACTCGTCTGACCCAGCACCACTCGCTGGCTGTGTCACCACTGCGGCGGGCGTGGAAGCAGCTGGCGGCGTCACCTCTGGCACGCCAGCGGGGGGAGGCTGCTCGCCGAGGTCGTCTATGTCGAATTCGTCCCACTCAGCACCACTAGCAGGCTCTGCCTCCGCTGCAATGGCCGCGAGCGCAGCTGGCGGCGTCGCCTTCCGCGAGCGAGCTGGAAAAGGAGGCTGCTCTCCGAGGTCGTCCATGTCGAACTCGCCCCACGCAGCGCCGCTCGCTAGCCCTGCCTCCGCTGCGGGGGCCGTGACCGCAGGGGGCGGCGCCACCCCCCGCGAGTCAGCGGCGGTCGCCTGCTCTCCGAGGTCGTCCATGTCGAACTCGTCTGACCCAGCACCACTCGCTGGCTGTGCCACCACTGCGGCGGGCGTGGAAGCAGCCGGCGGCGTCACCTCTGGCACGCCAGGGAGGGGAGGCTGCTCGCCGAGGTCGTCTATGTCGAATTCGTCCCACTCAGCACCACTAGCAGGCTCTGCCTCCGCTGCAGTGGCCGCGAGCGCAGCTGGCGGCGTCGCCTTCCGCGAGCGAGCGGAAGAAGGAAGCTGCTCTCCGAGGTCGTCCATGTCGAACTCGCCCCACGCAGCGCCGCTCGCTAGCCCTGCCTCCGCTGCGGGGGCCGTGACCGCAGGGGGCGGCGCCGCCCCCCGCGAGTCAGCGGCGGTCGCCTGCTCTCCGAGGTCGTCCATGTCGAACTCGTCTGACCCAGCACCACTCGCTGGCTGTGCACCACTGCGGCGGGCGTGGAAGCAGCTGGCGGCGTCACCTCTGGCACGCCAGCGGGGGGAGGCTGCTCGCCGAGGTCGTCTATGTCGAATTCGTCCCACTCAGCACCACTAGCAGGCTCTGCCTCAGCCGCAGTGGCCGCGAACGCAGCTGGCGGCGTCGCCTTCCGCGAGCGAGCGGGAGAAGGAGGCTGCTCTCCGAGGTCGTCCATGTCAAACTCGCCCCACGCAGCGCCGCTCGCTAGCCCTGCCTCCGCTGCGGGGGCCGTGACCGCAGGGGGCGGCGCCGCCCCCCGCGAGTCAGCGGCGGTCGCCTGCTCTCCGAGGTCGTCCATGTCGAACTCGTCTGACCCAGCACCACTCGCTGGCTGTGTCACCACTGCGGCGGGCGTGGAAGCAGCTGGCGGCGTCACCTCTGGCACGCCAGCGGGGGGAGGCTGCTCGCCGAGGTCGTCTATGTCGAATTCGTCCCACTCAGCACCACTAGCAGGCTCTGCCTCCGCTGCAGTGGCCGCGAGCGCAGCTGGCGGCGTCGCCTTCCGCGAGCGAGCGGGAAAAGGAGGCTGCTCTCCGAGGTCGTCCATGTCGAACTCGCCCCACGCAGCGCCGCTCACTAGCCCTGCCTCCGCTGCGGGGGCCGTGACCGCAGGGGGCGGCGCCAGCCCCCGCGAGCCAGCGGCGGTCGCCTGCTCTCCGAGGTCGTCCATGTCGAACTCGTCTGACCCAGCACCACTCGCTGGCTGTGCCACCACTGCGGCGGGCGTGGAAGCAGCCGGCGGCGTCACCTCTGGCACGCCAGCGGGGGGAGGCTGCTCGCCGAGGTCGTCTATGTCGAATTCGTCCCACTCAGCACCACTAGCAGGCTCTGCCTCCGCTGCAATGGCCGCGAGCGATGCACGCGCCTGCACTGCCGGGACCTCGCGCGAGTGCGGCGGCTCTGCCTCCTGGGAGTCGGCAAAGGACGGCTGGTCTCCGAGGTCGCCCACGTCGAGATCGTCCCACCCGTCGGCCGGCCCCGCCGCTGCGGCCGCGCCGCCTGGCGGCGCGTCGGCCTCATGCGCGGCTGCGGCTGGAGGCGCCTCGCCGAGATCGCCAATGTCGAAGTCGTCCCAATCGCCGCCTGGCGGCTCAGCCCCCTCCCCTGCGGCCGAAGTGGCCGCGTCCGGCTTGCTGTCTTTCTGCGCGGGCCCACTGGCCAGGCGGTCGAGCAGGTCCGAGAGGCCACCGCGGTCCACAGGGGCAGGCGCAGGCGCCGCCCCTCCAGCAATGCGGTCGAACAGGTTTGCGAAGCCACCGCCGCCACTGCCGCCGGGTTTCTCAGCTCTCCCGGCCTGAGCGCTGCTTCCAGACATCCTGTCGAACAAGTTCGAGAAGCCGCCTGGAGCGGGAACGTCGGGCGCGGACTCGGGCGCAGCGGCGCCCCCGCCGGCCATGCGGTCGAGCAGGCTGGAAAATCCACCCTGCGCAGAGCCTGCGGGCTCAATCCCCGCGGCCTGCTTGGGAGCGGCCGGGCTGGCCATGCGGTCCAGGACGTCCAAGAAGCCACCTCTGTCTGGCTCTGCGCGCTCAGGGCCGCCAGAGGCGGGCGCTGGCGTGGAGCCCGCGCCCGGCTTCTCGAGGTCGTCGAAATCGAAGTCGTCACTACCGAACGCCGCCGAGCGGACTCCTGAGGCCCCCCCAGACCCCGAGGGTGCTGTGGCCGCCGCCGCTGCGGCCTGCGGGGCTGGTGATGCAAAGCTGCTCGCCGCCCGGCCAGCGCGGAGGTCCTTCACGCTCGTGCGCGGGAGTGGCCGGCCGTGCTGGTCCAGGAGCGCCATGCCCATGTCGCGGTCCACTGCCAGGAGCGCCTGCCCGAAGCGCTGCTGAGCCCCAGCGTCCACCCACTCGGAGCTCGGAGCGGCCAGTGGGAGACCCCGCCAACCCAGCCCCTCTGACGACTCCGCCTTCTGCGGCAACCCACGGGAGCCTCCCATACCATCTTGTTGGCTCTTGAGAATGGACGCTAGTCGACGCTAAATCGACGCTACTCGATGCTGATCGACGCTAATCGGTGCCATCTCATCGACTACAGGACGTTAATCGACGCTAACCCACTCCACAGACGGAACTACGAGGGTGCAGTCAGGCTGATGAAACAAGGAACGATGCATGTGGAACGAAGCCCCTGTCTGGCCCCCCTGCGTGCACGAGGAGGGCTAGAGGAGCAGCCATGGAAGGACCCAAAGATCATCGACTCCCTTTCGAACCCAAACTGCTCCTCATTTCAGCGTCTTGGCTGTATACGAGACTCCCGTGACTTGCTGCCGAACTCTGCCTGCACCAGCCCCAGGCTCCGCTGGACGAGGCAGCCCAAGGACGTGGCGCCGCCGCCTTCCTGAGCATAGCCGCGGGCCTCCACCGGGCTGCCGTCCTGCAGCGGGGCGGCCTGCTCCGCGGAGGCGTCCCGAACTTCTGCTGGGGGCGGGCGCGGGCTGAAGCTCGCCAGCAGCTGCGGCAGCTCCTCTGGAGGAAGAAGAGGCGGGGGCCATGAACAGGACTGACCGCGGAAGCGTCGTGCCGACCTTGGTCACCGTCGATCTTGGTCGACGTCACTTCGAAGATCATCCTCGCGACTCGGCGACGGCCGACTCAGATCATGACCAAGATCGGCACAGCCAAGATCCCGCGACATCTTGGTCATGGCCCCCGTGCTTCTTCCCTCGACCTCTGGCGGGCAGACCTTGGCTGCGTCGGCAAGCAGATCCGAGCCGCCGTCCGGGTCGGCGCCGGCGCCGCCAGAGGTCTCGGTCGACGTCAGTGCCAGCGCCAGCTTCCACGCCGACGGGTGGGAGTTGGCCAGCAGCTTCTCGGTGACGGCGAACGCCTCGCCCTTCACGCCGCACAGCAAGTTCGCGGCGCCACACATGGCCATCACCTCAGCCCAGGCGGGCGTGGCGGGAGAGAGGCCCAGCAGCGCACAGAACGTGTGGAGCACCTCGGACTCCAAGAGCACTGGCGGGTTGAACTCCAGCAGGTCCGTGACCACTCGCAGGGGAAGCTGCAGCTGCAGGCGCAGCTGCAGTGGGCTATCGATCCGGAAGCCAGTGCTGGCCCCGCCCGCTCCGTCCAAGGCGGCTCCGCAGCCTGGCGCGGCCACGTCCCCGGCCTGCGGTCTTGCTGGCGCGCCTGCCGGACGCACCGCGGAGAACCCCTGTTGCGCGTGCGCGGACACGGCCGAGGTGACCTGCGCCAGGCTCGCGATGCCCTTGCGCCCAAGGTCGAGCAGAGCGTGCCGCGGCTTCAGGCGCACTAGGTCGTGCAGCATCTCGCACGCCTTGATGAAGTCCATCTCCCTCTGCACACAATCGGAGACTTGCTGGTCCACACCGGCGGGCACGCACCGCAGGATCCGGCGCGCTTTTTCCAGCGAGGCATGCTTCAGAGAAGGGCTCGAGTTGACCAGCTCCTGTGCGAGCGCCACCAAGGATCCAGCGACCCTCTCAGCACTTGACTGCGTCAACCATTCTGCAGTGGACGCCGTCATGACCTCAAAGTGCTCCTGCTCTACAAGGCACCTCGCCAACATCTCGCACACTGCATGCGAGGATACGGCGGCGAATGCGTTTTTTTCCAGGTAAGCGATATCCTTAAAGAAATCGCGCCAGAACAATGCCGGCCGGTAGCGAGCGCCTAGCACACGAAAGAGGTTCCAGAGTGAGCGGATGGCCATGGGCTCGTTGGAGCAGCCACGGCGGAGGTCCAAGAAACTCAACGAGAGTCCGATGCTGTGCTTGTGAAGCAGCTGTACGCAGTTTAGGTGCCCCTCGAGCTCGTCGGCCAGCAGCTGCAGCTCGGCCCACCTCTGGCTGTCCTGCGTTGCCACGTTGGCGTCGCTCTTGGGGATGCAGCAGAACATCGCGTCCACGCTATTGTAGATGTCCATGGCATGGCACCGCTGATCGTCGCTGTACACTGCGTTAAAGATGAACTCGAGCAACCGCAACTCGTCCTTCAAAATGCGCTGCGTAGGCGGCTTATCCGGGCTCGATCCCTGCACCACCTCGGCCACGATGGCGAAGGTGCCCGGGTCCCAGCCGTTGGTGCTGAGCAAGCGCAGCAAAGCCTTCGCAACCGTCTCCTCGACTTGCTCTCCGCTCACAGCTGCCAGCGCCGTGGCTTCGAGTCCACCGCACAGCACGGAGCTGTCATCGGCAATCAGTGGGCCCAGCCCACAGTGCTCCACCGAGACCTGCTGAACCCATGCCTTCACATCTTCGACCACCGTCGCCGCAACGCTCCGCCGCAGCGCAAGGGCACAGCGCGCCGCTGGCTCCAGCTGGACGAACGAGTCGAAGCTTAGCAGCCTCTCGAGCGCAATCGCGGCTGGCTCGCTGGCAGGGTCGATGGCCAGATCCCCAAGCGACGCGTCGCAGTACATGCTGTACTCGGCGCAGAGGCGGAACATACCGCAGAGCCGAGGCAGCCCCGTGGGGGCGCCTGCCGCCTCGGCGTCAGCGCACGGCAGGCCCACGGCGCCGTCGTCCGCGGCCTGCGGCCACTGGCCCGTGACCATCACGAAGATGCCGTGCCGCAGCAGGTCCAGGGCCAGGCTGCAGAGGCCGGTCCGCTGCACGATCTGCCTGGCCCTGGCCACGTACCAGGAAGCGCCGCCGCCCGCCACGCGGAGCACTGTGCTGGCCTGGCAAGATGGTGGCGCTGGCAGCACCCGGCGCAGCTCCGCAGCCCGTGCCGTTTCGGGCACGGCGGCCAGCACCTCCTCCCAGCGCGGCATCAGAGCACCTCGCTCGGCAGTGAAGAGCGCCTCCAGCGCGGGCGCGCACTTCTCCGCCGCCACCCGCCTGGCCAACTGCACCAGCGAAGCATCGTCGTCCCCCACGTCTCGCAAGGTGGCCCACGAGAGGGATGCCCTGTCGGTGCCAGCAGTCGCCGTGTCTTGCATGCGCCGGTAAACGTCCAGGCGACGCAGCTGCAGCTGGGCCTTGCTCAGCAGAGCCTGCAGATGCTGCACCCGCGCCGCCGACAGCCTGGAATGTCCTGGCCCAGTGGCGGCCTCCACGACCTCCGCTGCCAGATCCGCTGGCAGCTCCTCGTCGAGGTCCATGTCTCCCCAGCCTCCGCCGCCCTCCTGGGCCTCTGGCTGAGGAGCAGCTGGCTGCAAATCATCGCCGAGATCGAGGTCATCCCAGCCGTCCGCACCGCCCTCTGCTGCGGCGGGCGCCGCCAGTGCTGGGCAGCCGCCGCCGTCGCGTGCCCCGCACGCCTCCAGCACCCACGACAGTCGTGCCTCCGCTACCTCCAGCAACCGCCTCAGCTGCTCGCACCCAAGCGCCGCCCCGTCCGCGCCCGCGCCCGCGCGCGGGGCCATCAGCTCGAGGCTCAGCGCCCGCTCCGCGAACTCGGGCACGCTGCGCACCGCGAGCAGCTCTCGGTAGCACTGCAGGCCCATCGCGTGGGCGCGCCCGCCCTCCGCGCCGCCGGACGCCGCCGCCGCGGGACCCGCGCGCGAGAGCAGCTCGATGGCGGACCTGGCGCCGTCGCCGGCCTGCGCGGCGAAAACCAGGCGCCGCCCGGCCGAGCCGACGCCCAGGACGCACCCCCCGCTGCCGACGTCCAGCGGCCTGTAGGGCTCCTCTCGGCTACGCGCAAGAGTGACCCTACATAGGCAAGAGTGACCTGTGGTGTGCGGCTTTAGCGGGCCGTGGGGAAGGCACATCCGAGCGCGCGAGCCAATGCCGGAGGGACCCATGTGGGCCCGCACCAAAGGCCACTCTGGCAAAAGGGCACTCTTACGCGTACGCGATCCTCTGCCAGCTCCAGGCCGGGCAGCGTCAGGGCGACGGCCTCGAGCGAGCGCGGCCGCTCCATGCCGGCGCCGCTGGCGCATGGAAACATCAGCGACACCGTGTCGTCCTCCCAGGCCTGCAGGAGCAGGGGTGCACTGGCGACCTCCGCCGCCTCGGAGCCGTCCTCCTCGTCCAGGAGCGCCAGGTCGAGCCCTCAGACCCCCCCCGATCTCAGCTGATCCCCTTCCAGGCACGGGCCCTATCACCTAGCAGGCCCGATTCATTCCAGATCGTCCTGCTGATCAAGGGCCTGGTCGAAGCCCCGACGGCGGCTGCTCTGCAGATCGGGCGGATCAGCAGTCTGGTTGAGCCCCAGAGGATGGATCAGGGAGCTCTAAGACCAGTGCCCGCTGCTGCACACATCCTCAGGCCGCTCACGCGCGCAGGCGAGAGCCGCGCCGCCTCGGCCCACCGCCGCGGCTCGCCCAGGCAGGAGAACACGACGACGCTGCCCTCAGCGAGCAACGCGCACAGCGTGTCGCCGGAGCTCAGCAGCGCCAGAGAGACGGCCTGGCACGACTGCCGTCCTGCAGGGCCTCTGGTGCCTCGGCCTGGATTCACCTGCGTGGCGGCTGGCGCCAGCGGCTCGATCGGCAATTCGGCGAGGTCCACAATTACGGTACCCACCAGCTGCGAGATCTGCACCACCGCGCTGGCATCGGCCGCCATGCCTGCCACGGCGACCACCACCTTGAGCTGTCCAGAAGGACCACGCGACAATTGCCAAGAGGCTGATCTCATGGACGCGCACTTTGATTGTGTGCATCCAGCTCAAGTGTTAATCATCATTGTCGCTCAACGCCATTGGCACAGACACGTACTGATTCAAGCACGCCGTCGCCCCCGCTTCTCCCCAGAGGAGGGAGGAAGGAGGAAAAATATGAAGAGGATGATGATGATGATGATGATGATGATGATGATGATGATGATGATGATGATGATGATGATGATGATGATGACGATGCTGATGCTGATGCTGATGATGATGATGATGATGATGATGATGATGATGATGATGATGATGACGACGAGAAGGAGGAGGAGGAGGAGGTGGAGGAAGAGGAGGCGGAGGAGGAGAAGGAGAAGCTCTTCCGTTCTGTAATCCTCCCATGCTGGTCCTCAAATCCGCCGACCCTGTCGGCGTGTGTGAGGGGTTTATCCGTTCGACTCGGTGTCCGTTGGTGTCGTTCAAGAAGCCACAACCCTTCTGGGGCCTAACCGACATCCGCCGACCCTGACATCCATCAAGCCTGTCAGCGACAGAAAAACCCAGCAATGTCGTAATCGAATCGAAGGGAAGCCCCTGCCCTTTGATCCCTCCCCCGTCGGGGGTGGGGGGGGTTGGGGGGGGTCAGGTACGCATCCTCCCCTGAGGGTTCGGGGGCTGGAAAAAATGCCAAAACAATCCCAAGTGCCCCAACAGGTCTTCGAGAGCGTCCAAGAGGGCCCCCACCCCAAGTCGCCTCCCTCTCCCACGTCTCCCTGTACTCCCTCCCGGTGCTCAGCCCCCCCCCATCAACCTCTAACTCCACATCCTTATACTCCTCCACATGATCGCCACCATCCTCCTGCTCCTCCTGCTCCTCCTGCTCCTCGTCCTCCTCCTCCTCCTCCTCCCTCGCCTCCACCTCCTGGGCCTCGTCTTCCGCCTCCTCCTGCTTCTTCTCCTCCTCCTCCTCCTCCTCCTCCTCCTACTCCTACCTCGTCGCGATTAGCGTCGTCGTCTTCAGGGTCGGCGGCACCGGCCGTCAAGCCTTCGCCCATCGCAGACTTGTGGTGGGAGGGCGCAGGCCCATCGGGGGTAGGGGAAGTCCGAGCGGCCGTTTCCCCAAAGACGACTCCGAGGTGGCCCAAGACGAGCCCCGGAGGTCGCCAGGGCGGCCCAGGAGACCTCCAAGACAGTGCGAGAGGCTCCCAGGAGCGGCCCAGAGGCCACGCGGCCCCCACCTGCGTCAAGGAAGCCCCCACCCCCTGGAGCAAAGGCCCAAGATGGAGCAGGAGGAGGAGGAAGAGGAAGACGAGGATGCACCGCCTGTGGGCGTGAATCGTTGCGTCTTCCCACGCCCCCAGAGGAGAGGCCGAGCCGGATGCCGCTGACACCGCAAAACACCGCCGAACCAGCACGGAAGACACCGCGCGACCTGTCGCTACTCTTATTTTGATTCACTGCGAACTCGAATCTCGCGCGATGCTCTGTGTCCTGTGAAGCAGGCGCCAGGTACGTAGGTGGTCTAGAGAGCATCTTGTTCCCTCATCCCCTTCAGGGAAGGGTTTACCCCTCCCCCTTGCCCCCTCCCCTGGGTCTGGACGGGGGAGCCCCGCGAGCGGTCAGAGCGGCCCAGGTGGCTCCAAGAGCGGCCTCGAGTAGCCCAAGATGGCCTCCAATATGGCTCAATCTAATCGAATGCAGGAGGAGCTCGACCAACAGAAACCTTCCACAAGACACCCAACCCTGTGACCCTAGGACGTACATTGATTTTTGGTGTGGGGACGACACGCGTTCCATAGCGAAACCATCGAAACCCAAGAAACCTAGGGTACCCTGGAGGCAAGCAAGGTGTTTCTTGGCATGGGTTTGCACTATAGCTCAAGATGGCCTTCAAGATGGTTCACTATAGTCGAAATCTGGCTGAACATGATCTGCGACCTGCAGCGTGCCTCCAAGAGGCCTCAGGACCAATCCGAGACGACTCGTTAAGTAGCCACGGAGCGTACCAAGGAGACCCCAAGATGCCCAAACCACCTGAGCCGTTATCTCAACGTGCACGTTTTCTTATTCGGCGTTTCGACATTGGGCGGAACGGGGGGAGGGGAGGGGTCTGGCTCCGGACCTCTGCTGAATGCGACTGTTTCCAACAGTGCGTCCATGATGGGGAGATTCCACCTGCTTAAAACAGGCGCCAAGAACAATCAAGATCTACTCCATGGGTGGGGGGAGGGAGGGTGCGGGGGCCCGCGCCGATCGGCAAAACAATGAATAAGACAACGATTGCCAACCGTTCTCTGCCAGTTCGCCGTTTCGCTTCCGATGGGCCTCCGAGGCCTGACGCCGTCTTCTTGCACCGAGCGTTTACCCTAGCCACCACCAGGGGGGTCGCCAATTCCCCGAGGAAGCGCCATGTCCTCCAGGAACTGGGCCCCCAAGAACGCTCCAAAGCTTTCCAGGAGGACCCCCAAACGGCCAACCTCGCCTCGAACTTCGATCCCAGCCGTGCGATGGCCCCATCATTACCAAAGGGACCCCGGGGGGTCCCGTGCATGGTCTCAGACGCCCCCAAGATCGCCCCAAGATGGCTCCACGAGAGGCGGCCGTTCGGGCCCTAGGACGGCAGCGCCAATCCAGGACGGCCCCCTCGCCCAAAGCCAAAGCCATTGAACATCCCAAGGCGCTTGAAGGATTGTGGTATCTAGGGGACATCCTCGGGAGGCGCTTGGGCCAACATGGCTCCAAGCTGGCTCGAGGTGAACCATTCTGGCCTCCCCAATGACCTCCAACATACTTTCAAGAGATCCCAATACGGCTCCAGGGGGCCACGGAGCCTGCCGAGGCCGCCCCCCCGACACGCCCAAAGCATTCAAACACATCAGGGGACATGATGGTGGCCTTCTCACCAGTTCCTCTCCTATGTGCTTCTGGGGCCCCGAAATGGCCCAAGCTCGCCCCAAAGAGCACAAAGAGGGGGCCCATACAGGCTCCAATATGATCTTAAGATCGCCTGAGAGCGGCCCAAAATCGCGGAGACGTGAGACTCGGGTTTGGGGGACTCGGGTTGGCCTGACGGGGCCGTCATGAAAATTAGGAGACCCCATATGAAATTTGAAGAGAGCTCCCGCTGCAGACATCCCACTAAAACTGGACTGTCAACCTTCAAGACACGCTCGCCAAAAAGCGCCGGCAAACCCGAGTTCTGGCGCACTTGAGTCTTAGGCTTCCCCGACAAGAACGCCCCAAGATGGCCCCGAAAGTCGTGTGTGAGGTCAGTGCCGCCCGATTTGGCGACGGTGTTCGTTGTAGTTCTGTACGGAAGCGGGGCCTACCACCCATCCTCGCCCGTTTGCGTCTCCTCGAAACGCACGGGGTCGTAAGGCTTGTCTAGCCGTGCCCCCCGCGAAGCGGTGTGCAGAGACCTTCGATTTACGAGCTGTGATGTGCCTGTGTGCTACCTTCAGACTGTCGCGTGCGTTTGTGCTCCCAGCCATCACCATGGAACCGAACTCGATTCCATGTGTTTTCGGCATTCCGGGGTTTCACGGGGTGCTCCGCCCACCTTGTGCTCAGCCTGGTCGCCGCCGGTCGGCACGCTATGCCACGCGACCTGGTGCAGGCTGGCCACCTCCAGTCGCCTGCGCGTTGCCCTGGATGAGCCACGGCTCGCTGCCGAGGCGGTTACGGCGTCGTTCTCTTCGAGACCCACCTCGGCCTTGCATAGAGGCCGCGGCTGCGGATCCGGCTCGCCGAGCTCGACGTGCCACAAGGCCCCCCCCTCGCAGACGAGGGCCAGGCCTTCCGACCCCAGGGGCCACAGATCCACCGCGCCCGTGTCTGCGATCCTCGCCAACTCCGAGCCGCGCCCGACGTGGCACGACAGCAGGCTGACAGCGCCCCGCGCGAGCAGCACGGCCACGGCGCGTGCGTCCGGAGGCAGCGGCCGCGCGACCACGACCTCCAGCGGCACGGTGTGCTCCGGCCCTTCGGTGCTGCCCGCCGACGCGTACGAGAAACTCCCGACTTCCTGCGGTCCGAACCAGATGACGACGGTGCCGTGCCACAGCGCCAGCACGGTGCCGGTGGGGTCGCCAGAGACTCCGCAACCGCCCGCCAGGATCCTCTCCTTCAAGCCGCCCTCGTCGGGCAGCCTCACCGATCGCGACGCCCAAGCCATCGCGCGAGTCACAAAAAGCGATTCTGCACGGGCGCCCTAGCCAGTGTGGCTTGAGCCAACGAGGCTGGGGCAACCGCGCGGAACACTTACTTCCTCCCCACCCCCCGTCGTGACTCTTCCCAACCCTCAGTTGGTTGGGTTCTCGTTTTGAATAGAGCAGTGGGGTGCCGACTCCCTTCTCCTCCTTCTCCCCCTCTCCCCCGCTCTCCTCTCGGCTCTCTCCTCTCGCATCCCTGGGGGGGCTGCGAAGTGTGAAACTGTCGACACTTTCGAGGGCCACTAGGGGAGCCAACACACTGGGATCCCACGTAGATCAAAACGGAACCCCGCCATCCCTGCGAGGCTGCGAAGTGTGAAGCTGTCGCCATTTTCGAAGGCTGCTGGGGGAGCCATCACAATCGGGTCACACGCAAATCCAAACGGGACCTCGCCATCTTTGGGGGGGCTGCGAACTGTGAAACTGTCGACACGTTCGAGGGCTGCAGGGGAGCCACTTCAGTGGGGTCCTACGCAGATCCAAACGGGATCTCGCCATCCCGGGGGGGGGCTGCGAAGTGTGAAGCTGTCGCCACTTTCTAGGGCTGCTGGGGGGGCCAACACAATCGGGTCACACGCAAATCCAAACGGGACCTCGCCATCTTTGGGGGGGCTGCGAAAGGTGAAACTGTCGACACGTTCGAGGGCTGCAGGGGAGCCACTTCAGTGGGGTCCTACGCAGATCCAAACGGGATCTCGCCATCCCGGGGGGGGGGCTGCGAAGTGTGAAGCTGTCGCCACTTTCTAGGGCTGCTGGGGGGGCCAACACAATGGGGTCCCGCGCAGATCCAAACGGGACCTCGCTATCCCTGGGAGGCTGTGACGTGCGAAACTGTCGCCACTTCCGAGGGCTGCTGGGGAAGCCAGCACAATGGGGTCCCACGCAGATCCAACCGTACCTGGCATCCCTTTGGGGGGGGGGGGGGGGGGGCGAAGTGTGAAACTGTCGCCACTTTCGAGGGCTGATGGGGGAGCCAGCGCAATAAGGTCACACGCAAATCCAAACGGGACCTCGCCATCTTTGGGGGGGCTGTGGAGTGCGAAGCTGTCGACACGTTCGAGGGCTGCAGGGGTGCCAACACAGTGAGGTCCCACTTAGATCCAAACGGGTCCTCGCTACCCTGGGGGGGGGCTGCAAAGTGTGCAACTAGCGCCACGTTTGAAGGCAGCTGGGAGGAATCTCCAAATTGGGCATCGCCATCCCTTGGGAGCTTCGAAGTGTGAAACTGGCGCCGCTTTCGAGGACTGCTGGGCGGGGCAGCTCAGGGGGGCCCCACGCAGATCCAAACGAGACCTCGCCATCCCGGGGGGGCTGCGAAGTGTGATATTGTCGCCACTTTCGAGGGCTGGCGGCGCAGGCCTTGACCTCTTCTTACAATAATTGCATGAGCTTTTAATTGTACGAGGCGCTGCAGCAACGCGGAACACTGGCCGCGCAAAGGTTGAGCATTTCGGTATGGAACAACGCGGCACTTCATTGCCTGGTTGCGTCTCCGCCTACGTAACCTCATCTTGCCCATGCTCCATCATCCCGCTGCTTCTGCCGAGGTGTTTGTTCTTCCACCACGATGTCTCCTTTCTTCTTCTCCTTCCCAATACGATGCCTCCTGACCTTTTGTATATCTGTTCTGCGAGTCGGCCACGCACACTTCGCATGATGCAGCGATCCGCCGTGCACCGTCTCTTGCAGTGTTGCTGTCGCGCTATTGTCGGCACACCTTGTATCATCCCTTGGTGCCGATGGGTTGGGTACGTCGCAGGGTAATGTTTCGCATCGTGGCTCCCCGGAGGCCTCGCCCCCTTCCCCAGGAGCGGTTGTTCATCCTGACCGCCAGAAGCCAGAGATAGCGAAGAACCTCCGTCTTGATGCTTTCGAGTCTCTGGAGGCTCGGGTGCTTCCTTCGGGTGCGCCGAAGAGGAGGGCCAGAAAGACGTGGGTTAATGGATTAGTGCATCATGGCCCGAGGCGTGTGCGCGGACGAGGGGGGGGGGGGCAGGGGACGGCCGCGGAGACGGAGAGGGAACAGTGAGGAGGACAACGAAGAGGAGGAGCCAGCGCTGCAGAGAGGATCACGAGGGGGAGCAGGAAGAGGGAAAGGATAACAAGGATCGAGCGAGGAAGGGCCCCCCCTGATGTAATTAGAGAGCCACCAACACCTCCTGGGGCGCGTCCTGACCAGAAGGATCCAGGCGACAACGGAATCAAAACTTCTCCTCGCCATCCTCCTCCTGTGAGACGTTCGGTACGACAACGCAAGCAGGCGTGAAACCGACGCTCGCCGAAAGCGAGAGGTGGACCGCGGCCACTCCGACGCTGTGGCTGAGAAGGCGCGGATAGGTGAGTGGGAAGAGGTCTTCGTGG